ACACACACAAACATACACTAACATCCATTTTTCTGAGGTATGCCAAAATATTCTGAAACCAACAAAACGCCGAGAAATGCAAACATTTTCATTTTCGATTTTTGGCCCATTACTAAACTACCCTACGGAAAATTAATTAGGTAAGAATCTCTGAATTCGAGATACCCAGCTGTAAGTCTGTAAATATATTGACAACCTAAAGTAGTCTCAAAACCTATATATGGTATGGTATTGTATTGACACCCTGCCACATGTAGGTTTTGAGACAACTTTAGGGTGTCAATATACTTTTATTTACAGACTTACTGCTGGGTTAGCATGCTGAGTTTTCTGTGTGTTAAACAATTAAATTAATCAAATTTGATTAAAATAGATAACAGTAATGCATTTTGGGTATTCGTTGAATAAACTATATTCTCATTTGCACTTTTCTCTCACATCAAATATGCAGCAAACCAAACTTGTCAAAATCAAAATGTCTAAACTTTATTGGTTTTTTGATAGTAGTTCCAACTATCTTTCGACAATACAGTCCTTCAGTATAAAATTATCCTTAAACCCATATGGCTCTATGGAATTGAACTTTGGGTATGTACCAGTAAGTCCAATATCGTACTCAAAACTCTCAGAACCATTATTGATGCTCTCTGGTATATTTCTAGTTACATGAATCATAATAATTTGGACATTGCATTCGTAAAAGATTTACCAAGAACAGATGCCATAAACACCTCTTAAAGATTGAATATCATGCTAATGAACTACTAAGTATCCTGCCTATTTTTCAATAGTGAGACCCGAAAACCACATGAAAAGCTAATATTTCTTGATACACATTACATACTTGAGTCCATATTTTCAACATAGATATAACTAAATGCTATTGCTTGGTGAAGCGACTAGAGCGGATGCTGATCACGCCATTATGGAGTGCAAAAAATGGATGAAGAGTAGGCAAGAACTATGTAGGAAGATAGTAAAACAAAGAATCTCCTCCGAACCAATTTTATAAAATTATTGACAAAGAAAAGGATATATGATGCACCATACAATCATATACTAGCAACTGAAATAAAAGTGTAAAAATCAATTATAAATGTATAATGACTAATGTACGTGCATTAAGTCAAAAAATAAACTATATCTAGCGCAAGAATTGAACTCAAACTCTTTTGGATGCAAGACCGAGACTTTTACAGGAACTCATATGAAATGTTCTGTATCACGTAAATCTAAATAATTAGTATTTTCCTTATCATTGGTCGTTTATGATTATTGAAATGTCGTGTGCCATAAATCGTGCATGAAGGGACAATATATACGACTATTGAAACAGGTTCTTTAGGCCAAGGTTGAGTCATGCGGCACGCTTAGCACTTTTGTTAGCATGGCTCGAGAGCGAGAATATTGCACGCACTCGCACATACCACGACAGTTACCAAGTCCCTTCATATTGACCCAGTGAGAGAATTATCAACTTCGATGCTAATCATGGGATATTTGTTCTCGAGATTATTTGAACCAGAATACTGTTTTTTGAGAATGCTCTGGCAAACAAAACTGGGAACTACATGGTATATTAATTAGACAGTACTACTCCAATTCGTTTTTCGAACCCACATATTTTCAGACGTCCATTTGTAGCCAAACGTAAATCTAAAATTCTAATATGTTACTCGACAAAGTGAACCTAAAATTCTAATATGTTACTGATTTTTTTGAAAGTGTAACTTCTTCAGGCGCGACTAGGATGTAAATCCATACAAGCAACGGAAGTGCGTTACGACAGATAAGATAAGAATCGAGAGCCAATGATTCGTCATTCGCTCTTGATGATATCATTTCTATACGGGTAAAAATACCATCAGTCATGAATGTATGTTAATTTAATTACATAAAGTTCTTCAAACACAATTACATGATGAGTGACGTTTGCTTAAAACAATATTTATTTAGGCATTGTTTAACATAATCCCTGTGTCAACGAATATTATAGAATTTATTAATCAGCAATTACTTCATTTCTCTAATGAAGGTTCAAGTCCTAAATGCTAATTACAATGACAAACCGATCATGATATATTTCAAGTATGACTTTAATTACATTATGTGTTTAAAAATATTATACATATTTTTAATGCTATTATAAATATATATTTATAATTTATCATTATTTAAATGTGTATAATGATTGACACTGATAAATTTGTGCATCACGAGTGTTACCATATTATTAATAAACATTATTCAAAGTTGTTATATAATGTATTTATTTTTACTTAAATACCATCTTCTACAGTAGCAAGGGAGAGGGGTAATTTTGAATATCACCAAGGTGTTAGAAAGTTCCAAAAATTCTTGAAAAATTGATGACGTGATTATTAAACGTCCCGAATTTGGAAAGCTTAGAAGCTCAAAGATTGCTTAGTTAGAATGATCGAGTAACTAAAACATAGGTCAATATTATAGGTTTATGTTTCTTAAATATTTATTGAAGTTTTGATATTTCACATAATATATCACATAATCAACTTTTTAGTTATTAAAATTATTTAAAAATGAAAATTTAACTCAAGGTAAGTTAACTTAAAGTTAAGATCACTTTAAGAAAAAATTGATTTTCACATATAAAGCCATAAGAATTTATACACTGTGATATATTTGAGCTTGAGGCTATAGATTGAAAATCGCCTTGAATATTTTTTTTTGAAGAATACAAATATTTATAATTTAGTATTTGAACAATAAGCATGGTAATTGTTATTTTTATAGTTTTTCATTATATTAAAAATATGGCAAGTGAAAGTGAAAAGCGAAAGTGAAATTTAAAGTCATATAAGTAAGAGTTAGCCATATTTTAACTTGCTTAGACAGACAGTAAAAATACATCTAAATGTATTAATAATTTTTTTCTAATAGACTCAACTTCATTTTATACAGGTAAATTTGATATCGTTATTATTCTTTTTAAGTCTGAATGCCCATAAGGTAGTAGAGTATGTATATGCGTTTACATATGTAAATAAATTAATATAATTTAATATGTGTATGTGTTTATTATTCATTCAAAATAATTCTTAAATAATTGGAGAATGAACTACTATTAACTACTTGTAAAAATATTTTCTATTATCTCTTACACTAGAAAGTTTTCCTGACTGATATACAGTATTTATAAAATTTAAATTATTTATAAAAAAATTAAAAAAATATAATATGTTCTAATAATTTATGAAAATATTACTAAATCATTATTAAAATAATATATATTGGTAACTATAAATTAAGAGCAATAAAAAAATTGTACTATAAGTGAATGTTCTCTACAAAACTTTTTTTTTTTTTTTTTTTTTTTTAATTTTTATTTTCAATAGCAATCAGAATACATAACTATTCTATGAGCTATTTGGCTTATGTCATTCACTCACACACATACACACACACTTGCAAACACACATATAAATTTATCGGATCAATATTACAATCATATTCAGAGAATCACTTCAATAAATGATTCAATTATTCTGTTTATATAAGGTTGTGGTAGTTCTATGGTTCCTCCATATTATCTTCGGGCAGCTTCTTCTTCAGTCTTCTTGAAGTTGATGTCTCAAGAAGCTGAGTGACTATATTGTTTGAATGATGTTGTAGTTTTTGAAAGTGTTTTATACTGTTGATTTGTATTATTTTGTTTATAAAATCAATATGAAGATCGTCGTGTAAAGTTTTGTTACTAACAAACCACGGAGCATCAGTAATCTGCCTCAATATTTTCGATTGGGCACGTTGCA